AGGTAGAATGTTGTCAAAAAAAACCTCTGACACTGAAGAACAGGGTTATCAGTGTTCTGTGTAACCACTTCCTCCCACAATACCATAGGGTTTTCTTTTTGGAGGATGAAAGGAAGAGTGCAACCTTCCTTTCCTAGATCAGCACAGTGACAGTGATGACATGATGCTTAGCAGTGTTGTTTTCTTCTGTTTGAGGGTTCTGGTTCCAAACCTGCAGATCCAGGGATGATATTGATTCAAGTACTGGACATCACACCAAGACTTCTCTGTTGCTTCATGTATGACAGGACTGATGGTTTTAATTGTTTTTAATTATCACAGTAATATTTTAAAAATATTTTTCACAGTATTCTGTGAGAAACTAATTTTCAAAATTACACAAAGCATTCAAGACAAAAAAAATTCTTCAATAATGAACATGTACAGTTTTATTAGGACTTTTTCTTCACAATCATTCACAAAGAGAAATTTAATACAGTGTATTACTCTCAGACATTTTTATTTTTATGCAAATGCTTTATATTCTGATTCAATACTTAGGTTACACAGTGTGCAGTATTATCTTGATTTATTGTTAGGTCTTGTTATCACCTACTGCTTCTTAATTCATGAGACTAGGAGTTTTCAGGACAGATGTATAGTTTGTTCTGGACTAGGACATCTGCACGAACATATATTTGCAAAAGTACCAACATTAACAATTTTGGTACTCCCACCTCAAGGTAACAAAGACTTTCTTACCTGCATTTTTGCAGGTCACACTGACGTTAATGGATAAAAGTTATGCTGTTTTGTTGCTCTGGCTCTATTCAGTTACACAGAAATCAAAGATGGTGAAGACCTAATAGGTTACCTAATGTTTTTCTATTCCACTGAAGGATTGTTCCTTAAAGTGTTTTCTCTTGCAAAGAACAGGAGGTCCATTATGTCCCCTGGGAAACTTTTCAACAGTCTAATAGAATTCACCATTAGAAACATTTTCATTTTGTTCAGTTTACATTTTCCTTTCCCTCATTTCATTCATTTTGTCATCCTCACTTCTGTTTAATGACAATAATATGACAATCAGACTGTATTGTCTTTCCAGATACATTCCCAAACATTTGTAACCTAATTCTGCAGTCATTAATAATGTACAATAGCCTACAAGTGATGAAAATTTAGTCTCCAAAAGCAATTCTGCAAGGTGCTGGGCACACCCTGCAAAGTGCTGCATGGCCCTCAAATTCATCACCTTGTGGTTAAATTCAAGGCTCTCATCTTTTTATTCAAACCTCTCCTTAACATTGTCCTGCTTTATTTGACCTAGACATTTGACCTGCTTCTGCCCTCTCTTTTCTACTAATGGTGTTACCCTTGGTGCCCTGGTCGCCTCCTCCCTTTCTTGTTGTTTTGACTCCTCTCCATGCACATCTTCAGCAAACTGAATCAGGAAACATGCAGCTTCTTCTTAACAGGGTCTCTGCCTCAACTCCAGTTTTGGCATTAAAATTAAAGTAATGCATGTGATATTTTTGAATGTTTGTAAGTATATTTATTTTACAAATTATAAATATTGAAATAATCAACCCTAAGGTAAACTTGCTTTTGCTAAACAACTGAAGTTACTTAGCTTTTGCCATGAGGTTTTCACCTCTGCTCTCATTTCATCCAGTTGTCAAAGTCGCCTTGAGATTGTAGTAACAGTAAACTTCTCAGGGGAAAAAAGATGTTTGCTTTGGAAGTACAATATCTAAGTAAGCTAAAAAGAGTTTAAAAGAGTTTAAGAAAGTTAAAAATGCTTAAAAAGTTAAAAATTTTAATTTAAAAATCTTAATGCTAAAAAAATAAATGCTTCAAGAAAATTTAATGTTTAAAAAAGTTAAAAAGAAATTATGTATTCTTAGTAGTAAAACAATTATAGTAGTAGTAGTTTGATCCTGAAATTCCAATAGAGAAAAAAAAATCTGCAATTTTCAATACTCTTTGTACTTCAACATTAAATGTAGCTTGGGCTTCAAGTAAATTAAGAAATAGAAGGTAATTAGAAGAAGACTAAATTTTTGGGCATAACTCAAACTTTATACTGAGTGGAAGAAGCAGCAAGAATTTCCCTGAATGTGCAAATACTTCTCACTTGAAAAAATAGGTGAAAAGAATGGTTTAGGATGCTGAAACCTAGTGATGACTGACCTGTTTGAAACGAATGACAGAAGTATATGCAATCAGTCTGGGTGAGGTTTTGAACTGTATCTGTAAATTAACAGTTATTTGCTCAAGTGATATGGGTAACTTTTTATAACTCTGTCAAAGCTGTTTGCTAGTTAAGTGTAGATCTATAGCTATCTCTTGAAAGTATCCTCAGAGTTCCCAGGCTGATGTGCATATTTAATCTGAATGCACTCACATGTACTGCAAAGGGCTATTTGAAGAGAGTAAAGCAGAAAAAGTGTCAGTGGTGTATCCATGCAGTGATCCTGGGTTGAATGAATGACAGAGGAAGTTCATTCAAGAGCCATTTTAATCTGATTTATCAGAAAAAAACCCCATCTTTTCCCCATGTTCTTTCTGATCTTACATGGAAACAAATATGGAAAGAATATTTTCTCCTAGTTTTAGCCCTAGTTCTGTTGATATCTTTTATTATATTCTGCTACTCCTTTGGAAACTGTTTTGGTTTTATTTTTCATTTGATCTGATGTAAGCATCTCTCAATTTTACAGGAAGACATTTATTTGTTTCACTGATATTTAAATTTTCTTCCACTATTTGCCTCAGGCCTGACGTGTATTATCTACGGACAGAGGCCCATGCACCCTTATGGCTCCCCCAACATGTCAGCAATATCTTTAAATTATCATCACTTCAGAGTTTTGCACAGGAGTCCTCTGTTCTTAAAGGGGGAAACAATTCGTGTTACAGTTGTTTGTACACCAGAATTCCTCTGTGTCCTTAGCCTATGAAATAAATGGAAACAAAAAATACAATTGCGTTATTTATTTGCTCAGTGAAAACAAAGTATTTTAAAAAATATTTTATTATTTAAAAAATCTTATGATTTGACATTTTGACCAAATCTACCCACTCATAAGTAAGTTTGAAAGTGAGTTTTGTAAAATTGTGCAACTTAATGCCTTTGCTACTTATCTTTTCCTTTTCTCTGAGCTACAGAAAATTGATACCAAAACTTTCCTCTATGAATTTACTTTTAGTTGCAATGATATCCTTGTGCATGGAATAGAGAAACTCTCTTGCTGTCATTCATAACTGCCTTAATGCCTTTCAACAAAATCTTAATTGAGAAGAAGAAATTGTACTCCTTCATTTCCCCCAAATTTGTACTATTTCTTTGAAAAATGAGAAGCATAGTCAAAAAGAGAGAAAATCCTGTGTGCACATGTGCTCTCACACATCTGCCCATCACATTGCCAGGTGACAATTACTTCGCTCATATACAGTTTTAGTCGTTTTTCTTCACCTACTTTTATGACTACTCGGCTGCATCCAATCACAAGGTTCTTGTGGAAATGAGTCTATACAGAATTCAGACCCTTCACACAGGAGTTCATTGTTCATCACTGAAGAGCTGCTCCGCTCCAGACTGTTGCCCCCTCAGAAGAGGCCAGTCTTTCACTTTATCTAATTAAACATTGATTGCTTTTTCACTGGAGTCCAGTGAGTAGATCAGAATAGAGAGATTTGTCAGCTGAGGAATCCTGTGAACAATTGCAAAATCCATATCTCCATTTGCAATGGACCCTGTGCTGGGAAAATTTGTGTGACTTAAAATGTATTCTTATGAAATCAAAATTCGAATTTTAAGCTTATAATTCTTGAAGCACTGGATAAAGAGGAAAAACTCTGAGTATTATGTGACTGATGGTGACTTTCATGCAATTCATTGTTATGTTTGGGGTTTTTTTGACCAGCAAAGTGCTAGAACCTGGATTTTGTTCTGAACAAAGACATTTCTGGCAAAGTAATGCAACTGCCTACTCACTTGAGTGTTTAATGTAATGCTCACTTATGCAGAAGTATGCCACCTGCTGATGCATAAAAATCACGTCTGGTATCACCTGTGTCTTATCTCAGTCACTGACATGGCCGAACTTTACTTAGTTTAAGAAATATGAGCACTCTGCTTGACTGTGGATAAGTACATATCCTCGTATCACTGAACAGCGCTATTCTAGCCCAGTGCTTACAACTTTCATAATTTTATACTGATTTTGTTGGTACTATCTGTGTTTCTACAGGACCTTCTGATATATTATAAATTTTTCTTGTACAGTCTTTTATTTTAACATTATTTTCAACTTGGCGGTATTTTGCTACTGAAGTTTTGAGGTAGTAAAAACACAGTTGAGACTTTTACTATCTTCCATTCTACATAGAAAAGATACAGTACTTTTCAAGCCTGTGATTCGATGATATTCAGTAGGAAGCCAAAACAGCAGAGCTTGGTTGGTTTTTTTTCACCCTGACAAAGTGCTTTGAAAATCTTACCACAGATTTCTTGTCCATTGTCGTCCATATTTCCAGAAATGATAAGCACTCATTCCTGCTGCTGAAACAAATAAAAACACACAGTGCTTCTACAAACCAGATTTTCAATACAAGTATATTAATGCTTGTTTTTTCCTTATAGCAATTATCTGTGCTTCATATTATATTGCTGTTAGTATAAATGTAGAGATAATAGTAAAAAAAATAAGATTGGTCATCTCGCTAGGAGTTGAGGCTTTTTTTCAGTTTTTTTTTTTCTTCTGTTTTCAGAGTAAGCAAACAAGTGAAGCTGCAGAAAGTGGCATAGGTGCTTGAGAGGATTATTTGTAAGACTATTTGCAGTGCCATCTTGAAAATGCATTTTGGAAAGTTGTAATGAAAAGGAGGGATGTTTTGGCACAGAATCTGAGAGGAAAAACAAAAATGTTTAAAGTAAGAGTCAGTGTTGATAACTCAATGAAATTGCCAGAAGGGATTGTTTTGCTGGTAAAAGTTATGTGTCGCTTTTTGGCCAGGAAGACAACTCCTGACAGAGATGCTTCCTACAGCACACCATAGTAGTGGGAGTGGAATAGCTGCTGCATCACTAACACCTGTAAGCATCACCTGGAAAAGGTGAGCTTAGGGCGGGAGGTAGGGTGGGGGGTGGGCGCGAGGGGCATGGGGAGGGTGGCGCAAGGGAGGGAGTGGAGAGGGTGGTGCTGGGGGGTAGTGCCTGGCGTCACATCCCGCTGAGGGATGGGTCCTTAGGGAGTGTCATTAATAAGCTCGCAGAGAGGGGCTGGTGGTGCCTGTGCACAGAAGGAGAACAAATCAAGGGTACACCAAGCCACGGAGTACAAAAGGGGCTGTTTCGAGCAGAATGATGGAGGAGAATGTGCGGTGAGTGACAGCCGGGTCTCCTGGGTAACAGGGCTCACCGGGAGCCGGGTTGCTGCAAGGCGGTAGAGACGTGAACAGGAGAGGGGGAGCTCAGCAAGGGCCTGAGGCTGCTGTCAGAGCAAGAACGAGCTCTGAAGGACGCCCAGCGTCTGCAGCAGCAGGGTGCTGACATACAGGAGGATGCTGAAGGAGCCTTTGCCCTGGGGATGGAGATATGAGTCATGTAACTCTCTCCTGAACCTGCTGGTACTGGAGTGACCCTTGTTAAGCAGCCTGAACAGTGCTCTTTTAACATCTCCACTGAAATGGGAAAATTGTTTCCTTTGGAATGGAAAATTTAAATTATTTAAATTTATTTATTAATTTTTAAATCAGTCTTAAACTTTACAAGCTTGAATTTCTAATAATTGCTGTTCCAGCTAATTTATAATTTCTGTGTTGCTAGGATCTGTAACATAGCACTTGCAGCTAAAATTGTTAATGAAATAAAGTCTTTTTGGGTGACCTTAATCAAGTTCTAAAAATTGTTTTCATATTTAGTCACAGAGCGTTATAAACACTTTATAAATGCCTGACAATCTATGGGAAAATATTGATTTTGACCACACTGTGTTTTCAGAAGTTTGAAGTTCTAATAAGAATTTAACTTTTTAAAAAATTGGTGTTTATTCTTTAAGGTAAAATCATTAGAAACAATTTTCTTCACTCAGTATATAGCAGGAGAATCACGTATGTATGTTATAAAAATTTAGCGATCCCTTAAATGCTGCTAATAAGTGGAATAAGTCTTTCCGTGTGTAACATTCTCTCCTTTACATGAGAGAAAAAATTGTAGTATTTTGGAATCTAACATATACCCAGCAAATACAAATATATGTGTATATATATATTTATATATATATATATGTATATGAACGTGCATACATATACACATTACACTTATGTATACAAACATAAAAAGGCGGCATTCACATTTTTTAACCCTGTGTATCTGCTGATCTACTGAAGGGACCTAATTTCTTTCTCTTTCTCTCTCTCTCTTTCTGACCTCTCTTCCCCCTTTAGTTTTGGCAGAGAGAATAAACCCAAACCAGCTCTGTTGTCTTGGTTGTATGATTTAAGTCATCAGACTAAAGACTAGGAGTAAGATCATATAAATGAAAAGAAAAAAACCGCAACAGAACAGCTATAAGAGATTGAGACAAAACTGTTCCTTCTTGTGCATCAAAAATATGTCACTTTCCATTTTGCAAATACTTCTGTATGCAAGAATCCCCTTCAGGGTATTTAGATGACTCACATGCATAATATTACACACAGATATTGCAGCACCAAGGTCTTGTTTGTTGAGTTTCTCTTAGAAAGTCTTTTATTCGTGTGAAAAATGCATTTCACTATAGATAGCCCTTGCCCAGGTGTAACCCCATCACAGCTCAGCTTGAAGGAGCAGTTACTCCCCGATGTAATCTTATTTTCAGGAGAAAATAACTTATTTTCAGGAGAATGATACTGGACCGTGTTTGTGAGGACTGGAGTCAAAAAGTGCTCTGTGTAAACTACTAGAGATTACCTAAGAAGGACAAACATATCAAAGTAACATAACAAAGTATGAGAATACCACATTAGTGATTTAACCTGTATTTCTAAACTATTATACAGAGTGACTTAGTTTGGGATGCTCCTGTTGAGTGGTCCCTTTATTTTAATTTAAAGTATAGATAGCTGCTTCTCATTTTGTGTGGCAGATGATAATTTGTTTGTTTAATGGGTTGCTACAGAAGCAGAGCTGAAGTGCTTTGTGTCTTAATTGCTTTCGAAGGTCACAGTCCTGTAAACATTTTGGCTCCGACAGTGGCAGGTTTCTGTGCTCCCATACTGAATCGAGGGGGGTTCTGCATGGATACACTTCCCTGCCCCTGTGCTAATGTTTGCTAGCTCAGGGCCGAATGCCCAGGCTTAACTCCACGTGCATTAGTCATGCCATTGAACTCAAATGGGGAGGTGACCTTAGGAAGCACCTTACATCAGGGATGCTCAATGGATTATTCTTATGGCAGTTCTGCAAACACAGCCAACAAACCTGTCTTGCCTTGCAGCCTCACACAACCAGAAAGACAGAGCCAATGGGTAAGAAATTTTAATCTAATAGGAAGGCAAATTTATAAGGTGAAGGATAAGCAGGTCCTGAATGTGTAATGCAGCTTTTGGATGTGATTCATTTTTAAGATAAAGAAAGGAAACAAACTAGCAACTAGTATGTTTTTAATATGACTAGCAAAGCATTTCTGAGAAATATTTTCTACAAAAATGTTGTATTTTATGTCATTACATACTTGTAAAATGCAAAATTAATTAACTTCAGAGAATGACAATACATGGAGGATATAGATAGTGAATGTCCTCACCTATATTACATTTACCTATATTTGAAATTTGAAAAAAGGTATTTTACGTAGCTTCATGGAATGTCTTGAGGTTATGAATAGCACTGCCTTGAATGATAAATATCTTTCCATCTCTCTTCTCTTTAGACAGTCTGAACTTTGTTACATCTTCAGAAAGGCAGCTTCTGCTAAGCACAGTCATAAAATAATTCAGCACTGCTTGTGTCAGAAATGTATTTTTTACCCAGATGCAAAACACACAATCATTATGTTAAGGGAATATTCTCATGTAATATTACAATTATTATCCTGAGAATTTTACCTATTGAATGTTGGAAATATGTACACTTTCATATCACTTAGATTAAGGCACTCTCTAAAAGTAATTTTTCTCAGCCCTAAATTTCCCTGCATATTTACATCTTTGTAGTATGTCTTTCTAACATTCTACACTGGGACACAGCATGCAGCTACATTCCAATAGCCTGCTTCCTTTTTTACTTACCTGATGTGCTTTGAAGTGGGTCTTGATGCTATTCTGCTTTATGTGCATGGGATGGACACAGTTATATTTGGAAAGGAGTTTTGGTGCCATCAGATGGACATACGACTGGGAGCTGCGTTCCTACATACCTGATTCAAAGTCTCCATCCCTTTTATCCGATTCTGCAGGAACTGCCTGCAAGACTGCTGATGTATTTGGCCTAGTGATAAAGACAGATAAGCCTTGTGTGCATCTTTAGCTCCACTCTCACGAGGATATTGTGCCAATGGCTTGATCTGCCCTGTCCTGGCTGCCCAAAGGTGTGAGTCAGCCACCACCCTGTGTGTGATGTGTTCTGGTGGAGAAGCAATAGACTATTTCAGACAAAAATCTCCCTGCAACCTGTTACCTAGGCCATAGAAATGATCAAAGAAACCTGAGCTCAAATACGGACTCAAGACTTAATGGGACAGTTTCAGTGTAGTCCAGATTGCTTGTATTTGTCCACTTCAAAAAGAGTTTATTCTGGTCTTTTTGGTTAGATACACAAGATAGTTTGGAACTTCAGCTAATAAAATGGTCCCAAGCTGAGCTAAGCAGATGCTGCTCAGTTCTGCAAAATTATCTTATGAATTACTCATACTCTAAGCTGTTTCTTGTCCAGCAAATATTTTTCTAGAAGAGATTTCTTGCATGAACCTCCACTAATAGCAATACCTATTACATAGTGCTTTAAAAATAACACATCTGCTTTGAGGTAAAAGGCCTCACAATCAGTCATCGTGGCAAAGATTAAGTTACGTTTTCATTCCCTTTTCACAGTCATACAGGTATACACAGAGGTAGAGTTTATTTAGAGGTCAAGTACAAGATATTATCAGAACTAGGGTTAAAACTAGGGATTTTGCAGTGCTGTTCATTTACTTAGCGCACTACGGATTTCTGTTTCATTTGTCCTTTTACTCTAATACAAATGAATTCATTACAACAAGAATGTTAAAAAGCAAAGTATGTGAAACATTATTGTGTACTTATGTCTGTGTCATGCTACCTGTAAAATTAATGATTCATCTTCTCTTGGTGGAGAAGCACACATCTGTATCAGGGTGTTCCACATAGAATCAAAGAAAGGAGATTTTGTTATTTAGAGTTTTATTTAAAGTAAAAAAAAAATTAGTAAGCTTTGTGGCAAACATTTTGCTAATACGCTTAATAATTCTGTGTTTCAGAGTAGTGTATGGCTAGTGACTTTTCTTCCTGAGGAGAATGACTGAGATGTCTGCTTGGAGTTATTCCTGGAATTAGACCAGCATGAGGTCTCCTCTACCAATCAGAGGTAATACTGCTGAATGGCAAGAAATCTGAAGTGATATATGTCCAACTATCTATGCGTTGACAATGTCAACCCTGGAAAAAGTTCCATCTGCCTGGTGCCAAAGGAAAGAGTTGGGAGAATGGGTAAACCTGGGTGACATCAGTCTCTTCTGAGGTATATTTAGTTGATGGAGACAAAAGCTTCTCTAGGTAATAGGCAGGTTTTATTAACAGTGATAGCCCAGACTTGTGCCACAACTAAGCAGGTTATTGAAGGTTAATTAATTAGTTATCTACCTAACAATACACAGCATAATGGCAGATACAAGAGTGTTGTCGTTTTCGGTTAGTTTGTAGAGCCTTTATAACCTCGGAAACTCCACTAGAGGAAAAATCAGACAATATAATACAAGACAATTTAATACAATTGGACAGTTAGTTAATATTAAGTGTTATATTAGTGCTCAGGCCTAAGCCTTCTGCTAGAAAAAAACCACTCAAATTCTGGTTTTCTGTTATCTAGTGTTCACCGGAAGAGGTTGCAATTATTTTCTATCAGGGTGAGCCTGACATAGTATGAGAGCAGAATCAGCCCCACTAGGATGTACACACATAAGTAGGGCAAATACAATTTACCAAGTGATATGTATGAAAACTAATTTCCTTACTATGGAATGATCTTTTGAAATGTTTTCTTTAAATGGTGATAGCTAAAAAGCAGCAGAAAATATACCCGGGTCTGTCTAATTCTGCATTATTGGGGTTACATAACCTGCATCTGTCCTCTTCACTTTGGATAGTAGTCTGGCCTTGGAAAGATTGAATTATTGTGTAATATCTTTCTCTAATTGTTTCTCCCTTTAGAGTATTTAAAAAATGGGTTGTGTTGACAATAGTAAAGGATAAAGAATGATAAGATATCTGTAGTACAAAATAAAATACTGCTTCTGCTAATAATTTTAGCAAGACCAAGTCAGTATGATTTTAGTGATATTATAGGTACACTGTGCTTCTGCGACCTTTTTTGGGAGGTGAAATAACTTGCCAACATTCCTGTTGTTTGTGCAACCTGAAAAACCTGCATCAAGACACTCAAATTACTATCAGATAACAAATTAAAATATCATTAAACATATTGCAAACAATATCCTTCATGTTCAGAAATCCCATTTATTTCAAAGGTGTGACCCAATTTCAGTGGGAGCTCTATAAACAGGAGGTTGAAAATCTAGGCTCTTAATTATAAAATATCCTCACTCCAAAAATAGAGAGGACAAGAAACAAGCACATTTTAAGGAAAAGTTTGAACAAAAACATTTTTCACAAGTTTGTCAATTTGTCAGTTATTTCTTTCAGTTAGCATAACTCATGTTTACACAAGTTAATAAATGTCTTATGTACTAGGACCCACTTCAAGATTTATAGGTATCTAAACATCTCTCAAAGACTGTCTTAAAGTTACTTCATTTCTTAATAACTGTCTCAATTGCATACTTCCTGTCAAAATGTGTCACAATACGTATATATACAGTTCTCATTAAGAGGAAATAAGCATATACTTATGTGTGTGTTTAAATACATATATATATGCACATCCCCCTCTAATTTTTAGTGGTCTCTAATTCCAGAAGTAAGTGAAATATTTATGCTGTTGAAGGGCATTATTAAAATGTCCATTATTCTGTAACACAAGTGCCAATTTTTTAATTGATTTAAAAAATATTTTCTTAATTTTAAGTGCAACAAAACATTTAATCTCTCCACAATTTTAAATTGTATCTCCACTCCGTGAAACTGTTAATAAGATCTCAGACTGATTTTAATGTTATGGAGCTTATTTGGCAAAGATAAAAAGACAGGTCCCTTTCCTTGCGTGAATACTTCATAAAGTTATCAGTTTGGGAATTCTGTCTAAAAGTTTCACTAAAAGAGAATTGTGCAGTTGAGCTCTGAAAAGTTTGGCAGTGCAAGAATTAAAGCTTCCTTCAAAACCATTCTGATACTGTCACATACTGTTTTTCTTACTTATTCAACCAGCAGAGCTTGATGGTAGGATCTTCAAAGCTGCAGCACAGGTTACTTTCATTTGAGCCAACCAAGTAACCAATAGCTGAGGTCAGACACTTTTCTGGACTTGGGCCACACTCAGAGGGAGACACTATGTGTATTTTGTCTTTGAGCTATGCATCAGTGAAATTCAGGGTAGGGAGACTGCTGGGCTCTGCGTCTGGAGCTGGGGTGGGCTTGGTAACCCTGCAGTTCTACAAGAACTGTAATCCTATGGGAATTTTATTTGCAAAGTGAGTATTCGTTGACTACCTGTGAAGGGACTATGAGACTAAGAAATAAGGGCTATAAACTAAGTGGAATTCTTCTGAGCACGATGGAAAAGAAATGAGAACAGTCTTTTTGTTTCCTGAATCACACCTAAGTGTACTTTCTATCCATAAATCAACTTTTTAAAGCTGGCGTTGTTTGTTTTTTTTTTTTACCCTTAGATGTTACATATAACTCTCTTTGCTATAGAGAGAGTGCTGTAAATATATATATATATATATGTATGTATGGAAATAAAACCAGGAGACAACGGAATACGGTGCATTTTAAAGGCATAGGGAAGGAAGAATACCCTTGGGAAGTTCCGTCTGAAGACTGCAAGGCTGGTGCTTATTTTCAGAGATGCTGTTTTCAGTTTTAGCTCATTCTCTGGAGTAAAATCTTTTTAGCAAATAGTTAAAATTTTTTGTTGCTCACGTATCCTGTTCAAGATATGGTGCAAAGGTAAAGCTCTGAGAAAGTAATTGACAGATGGATGTTTACTAATTCCAAATCCATTTAGTATCCTAAGTATCATGGCATCACAGTTTTTTGTTGATAACTCAACCACCATCAACTTGAACTACTGAAAATGAGTGTAAAAGCGTTAAAGACCCAGTTTGAATCCAGACCAATATCAGGCTACAGTGTATGTATCACCATAAGGAAAAATCAACATTTTTTACATGAAAATATCTAGTTTAACTTTTAGAAAAATCTTAGCATCTACTTGTATGAAAACAATAAAATTTGCTTTTTAACATTTTTTTTCTAATATATTTTGCACTAGCATTTTTTTTTTTTCAAATTTCCAAGACAAAGAAAATACATGTATTTGGCTACTACAGAAACACATGAAAATGCATGAGTCTGGATGAATGTTTGTACATATATAAAGAAAAATCAGATTTTGACAGCTAAAACCAAAACATTGTTTCTGCCCTCTATCACCAACAACATAAGGTAGGATGAAAGCAACTGCAAGGCTAAGCCAACCAAAACTAACAGAAATCATCTCAGAGCAGGTCAGTGAGTCCCAGTAGAGAATCTACCTGATGAATAAGCCAAAACCAACCCTAAACAGGCGTATCTCCCTGTTTGCAATCTGTTGAAAGCTTCAGAGATGAATTTCAATGCCTGTAGCTCTTGCCTCTCTTCTGCATTAGAGGCAGGTGAATACCTTGCAACAATGTCAAGAAGTGTTTGTTCATGTCTTCGAGTGACTCACTATAATTATCTCTGCTCTTATGTATACAAATATTCTAAGAAAGGAATTTACTGGACAAAACAGACACTAACAGAAAATTTTAAGCAATTACTAAACATTCATGATACAGAAACTTTTCATTCATACCCAAGAATGTTAAAAACCTCATTCCAAAGGTATCATTAGCCCAGTAGGAGACAAGAAAAATCTTATGTTACTTATATAGCCAGATAAGGCTATTGATTTAGAAATAATTATTTTAGATAAAAAAATGCTAGTTACTTGTTGAATAAATAAATATATCAAATATTTCTTTGATGTAAGTATATCAAAGATGATGTAAGATAACTTGCAAAGATACTTCATGAGATCACTCACCAGTTACTATCCTGGTGAAACAGACTTTACTCGGGGAGATTAGTTTCACTTATTACCAACCAAATCAGAATAGGATAATGAGAAAAAAACCACAAATCTTAAAAACCCCTTCCCCTCATCCTTCCCTTCTTGTTGCTATGGAAATAAAATGCATTCCAGAACCTCACAGCCTTCTAGGAAACTCTTCATAACTGCACACCTAGGAAGGGGCAATTGCTTTCCTTGTCTTGTGAGTTTGTGGTGGGGATGGGAATGGAAAGGCAAGGTGTGAATGGGTTACCTTTGGATCTGTTTTCTTCATCTCTAGTTTATTTTCAGAATTGTCACCTGGGATGAGTGTGATGATTCATAACCATGTTTTCTTTAAAAATCTTCCACAGCTAACTGATTTCTGGCAGCTTTGTAAGTGTCTAATGGAGGGAAAGCACCCTTTTAACATTGCTCCCAGGAGTCTGGACTTCCTAAATTTGCAGATTTGTTGTGTGAAACAACACCATTGCAAAAGACTGCATAAGTTAAACATTTCGCTATGGAGTATGGGTTGACTTTTGAAACTCTTTATTGTCTAAAAGTGGGATGTTCACCAGTGGAAATCTCATGACTGAGATTCTCAGACCCTGGGTGCAATGTGAAAGCACCACATGGTTTTATAATTTTTTTTTTTTTTTTTTTTTGCAGCAAGGTTTTCCACAAGAAAAATGAGAGGAAGTTGAGAATAAAGCCCATGTACCCCTCGCTGCATAAAGACACGCAACTATCATAGTATTTCAGTTATTGTAGGCTGGATTCTTCTTTGGTTGTTTACATACCCACCAATCTGTTGACTTTATTTAGTTGGAAACCCACTCCTGCTCTGTCTCTAGTACTTGAGATTGATCTTATTTCTCCTACATTGGAAAAATGTCTCAGGTGAGATATAAAAGGGATTCTTAGTCATCTTAGACTAAAGCTCTGTAAAATCGGTGTTTTATGGTATAGGATGATAAGCATCCCTAGGCTTCTCAGGGAGACTCCAGGGTGAAGCAGGTCACACTGAGAGTCACCTCTTGGTTTTAAGTGAGGGCTCATCATGGACTCCAACAGGAAGGAGCTCCTGTCTTCTGTGGAGGAGGAGAGAGTGTTGACTGCTGTCATGGTTTGCAAATTGCCCCCCCGGGAGCCAGGGGGCCTATAGGTGAGGTGATTGGATTCCAGGGCAGTCTCCCCTGGAGGGCCAATCACTGCTTGTTTTGTTTGCTCCTGTGAAAAATCATATATACACAACCGCTGGAAGTTGCTGGCATTTGGTCTGTCTGTCTGCTGCTGTGTGGGTTTGAGAAGGCCCAGGGGTGGCAGAGCCCCCTTTTTTTCCCCTCTGGGGAAGGGGGGCCCTGCGGCCCCACAACTCTGGCCAAGCCAGGGTTGGAGGCAGCATTGGAGTGAGTGTCTGTTGTGAGGGAAGGGACTCACAGCGCCTGAAGGTAAGCGGGAGAGAGGAGCCAGGCCCTCTTCCCCCTACTTTCCAGCTAGGCTGCAGAGGGGGGCTTCTTTTCCCTCTCACTGTAAAGTGGAGGGGAGGTTCAGCATTGGAGCGGAGCCAAAGTGGACGGGCTGAACGCAGCCCAGCGCCAGGGAGATAACCCCAGGCGAAATTGGAGATGGACCAGAGAAAGGCCCGGAGGATGTCCTTGCAGTGATTTAAACAGAGGACAGCTGAAAACTTGGAGGAGGAATGAAGATTCCGGGATGCGTACGTGTGATAAGCTGACTGAACTACAGCAACCTACGGAACCGAGGTATGAGAGAGAGAATCACACACAGCAGAGACTGACACAGAACCACGGGAGCATGGACTCAAAACTATCTTCTTGGACTTTGTGAGGAAGAAGATACTTCAGTTGTAGCTGGAGTGGTAGCTGGATCTCTCTCCATTACACACAAGGGGGTCTCCTCTCACGCCTCTCAGCCCTTCAACTCCAAGCGAAGGTCTCTCTCCCATGGACTCAGCGATAGCTGGGACAGAGGCTTGCTTCACCACGTCGTATCATGAAGTGCGGGGATCTTTGTGTCAGTCCCTTTCCTCAGGGGATTTAAGTTCCCCCTGAGTCAGAACGTTTAGGGCAGCTTTTAGTTCAGTCTTTTGCCCCAGGCATTCTACCAGAGCTCCTGTACTCTGTCTCAGCTGCCAGTGTGGCAGCAGCAGCGGGGGGACATGGTCACCTCCCCCGCATTCCATCTGGCCATCCCGGTCCAGCTTCCAGGACATTGTGGTGGTTTGAAACTCCCAAGAATCCAATTTCTAAGTTCAAGCCCCTTCCCACAATTTGCCCCTGTGAGAGGGTTTAGTGATGGCACGGACTTGATCTCTTCCTCACCTCATGTGGAGAGTTTTCAGAAAAAACAAAACCATTCGTTATTGGGGGAAGGGGAAAATATTTACAAAGGTTTATTTACATACATATATATATATTTACATTGAATTAAATTCCTCTTTTCCTTCAATAAAAGTCTACGAAGAAAAGAGAAAAGTCTTTCTGTCACTCCTCAGGCCACAGTTCCTTCATTTCAGTTTTTTGTGGCACTGGTTAGTGTCTTTAATTTTTCTGAGGCAGCAGATTTAAGTATGGCAGTCAGGATTTTTGTCCTTACTTTGTGGAAATTCCAACCCCAAGCCCTAGCCTGCGGGGGATTTTCCTTGGAGACCTTCACTTCTCTTGGGTTAGAGCATTTAAGGCAGCTTTCAGTTCAGTTTTACCAGAGCTCCTCTGCTCTGTCTCAGCTTGCTAGCATGGTAGCAGCAGCAGCAGCGGAGGACAGGGCCACCTCCTCCGCATTCCATCCTGGTTCAGCTCTCAAGACGACTCCGAGTTTTTCAGCTCCTTTCTCTCTCTCTATCTGCTGCTGCATTTTGGGACTCCCGAAGGGTTTGGAAGTCCACCCCTCCTCTTCAGGAGATCTCTGGGTTTTGGGAAAGTGATACAGTCTTACCCCAAAACAGCCCTGTTGAGTTTTCCTGTTTTGTTGCCAGCTCTCCCTCCTGCAGGAACATCTCTGCATCTTTCAGCCAGCTTCACATTATCTCGCTGCTACTGGCTGTCTTTTGGCTTTTAGCCACCGTTGTCTCTGTTCAGGACTGCTCCGCTGCCGCTTTCAATGTCTTCTGCTGCTGCTGACAGTAAGAAAACTCTTCCAGCTCTTAATTATGGGACCCGGTCCAGCTTTGACACTATATCGGGTCTCCCGTAGCCTCAGCTGGGGGCCCTTGGCCCCCAGAGGGGCTCACTGCTTCCCCCGGCTCAGACCATGGCTACCTACTTTCTATACTATCTTCACCACCTTCTCTTCCGTTTCTGTGGGTATGTAATTTCCGTAGGGCGCACGTGGACTATGGATTGGTCCAGTATTATCAGTGGGGCAAACCACTGCTACCTCAGAGAAAAGGTTTTTCAAACCACCACAACGTCTACGAACTTTTCAGCTCCTCTCTCTGGTGCATGCTGCATTTTAGGACTTCCATCCCGTAGGAGTCCATCCCCTCCTCCTAGCAGGGGTCTCAAAGGGGCTTGGGGGATTTGATTCAGTTCTAACTCCAAAACTGTCTCTATTGAGCTTAGTCCTCTCTCCATTAGACATCTCTGTGTCTCTCTGCTTAGCAGCATGCCGTCTTTGCTACTTGTTTCTTATCTTCTTGGCTTTCAGCCATAGCCTTCCGCTCAGTGCTGCCTCTGCCGCCGCTCCTGCTGCCCACTCACAGTGGAGAAAGACTCCCCCAGCTTTTCAGTCACAGAACTCGGTCCAGTTTAACACTGTTTCCGGGTTTCTGCAACCTCCCAGCTGGAGGCTGGGGGGGGGGCCTAGCCCCCAGTGGGGCTCCTGGCCCCTCAGCTCCTCGTGGCTTCACAACATGGCCACTTCTCCTCCAACTACATCATCATCATCCTTCTTGTCCGGTCTGCTGTGATATGTTTAAATTTTGCAGGGGCACTGATTGGATCAACCCCAAGGGACACCACCCCCTCGGAGGTTACCATTTTTTAACTCCAGAGGGAAAACATTTTTTTCCCCACCACAGCTGCCTATGCACCGTAGTGATTTCTGTGTCAATCACACACACAGTGAGGCAGAAGCTGGCATGATAGCATACATGACAAATCAAAGCCTTTTAGATTTTCTGAATATCACTTATAACTTTCATGAAACTACTGCATGAAGGGCAAGGTCTTGGTTTGGGAAAGACAGCACACGGAATATTGGTATGGATGTGTGTGTGGAGCTCACTGAGGATTTGGTAGTTTGAGTGATGTTTTGACAACTCTGAGCCACTATGTGCATATTACTGGACTGTATCTTCCAGTTTTTGTAGACTATGCCCCACACAAAATAAATGCCATAAGAACAGAAACAGCTGCTACTTCCACATATGAAAGATGACCTCATTAATCAGTGCAAGAAATAATTGGAACAAATTCAATGTCACAATTAAAAGCACCACATAACTCATTATTTTATTTAAAAATATGCACTGAACTATCTGAATTGAGTAATTCTGGCAGCTACCAGAAAGGCATAGCCAAATTCTTACAGATAATATTTTGTCTCTTGAATTATGGAGCTATTTTATTTATACTGTGTCATATTGATGAGGTGTAACCAATTTTTCTGCTGGGAATGCTTTGTAGCAAGGTGATGAGTACAGCATCATGTTCTTTAAGACTGGTGTGAGAGCACCCTCCTTTGAGACAGAAAATACTTTTTGTCTTCAGATTTCTGCAGGGAGGTGATGATGGTGGTATTATAACAATTGAGCACTACAAGAATAATTCTTGTTTGGAAAGAAATGTAATTATATTGTGTTTGATTAATTCCATTATTTCCACAGGATCTTAGAAATTAAAGAAATAGTTAATCTCCTGTATATGAATCTCACAGAAGGAAAGGTACTTGCTATAATGCAAACTCAAGCAGTCAAATTATTCCTTTCTTTTTACATCCAAAAATTCTACCAAAGGCAAAGACTTTTTTAAAATGAATTCGTGCTTCTCTCAAGTTGGGCCCAGTTGTGTTCCTGTAGCAGCCAGTGGGAGTTTACCCTTCCCTTTCCCAGGGACAACTTTAAACTCACTCTTACCTACTTTTGGACGGTAACCAAGAAACTGATTCTGAAACCTTCCCTCTCATTGGCAGGTCCATGAAATTGGTGGATAAATCAGGATGAATCAGACTCAAATTTCCATAACACAAAATACAGTTGTTACAGTATACGAACAACAAGAAAGTAGTAACACAATTAGGGGATCCAGTCTCTTTATTTTCAGATGCAAGGCAATGAGGAATCTTCAGAGCTGACGGCTGTGTGTCCTTATAGATCCTTATATTATAAAATATACTGAATTTGACAGATAACTTTATCAAGATACATATAGTTAGACATATAGCAGTTAGCTTATTTGACATAAATAAGCAGGTATTTCCCAATTGTTACTACCACTAGTGTGTTTGCTTAAACTCTTAAAAGAAAAATTGAATGTTCATCAAAGTGAAAGATTTTTGGAGGCAGTTTAGACATCAACTTATTATTTTCTCACACTATTATAAATCTGAGAGTATTTTATAAGCAAGAACTTACATCTGGTTTAATGTTGAATTATATTGATAATGCTAATGTTGGAAGACTGTAACAATTTTAAAGAAGGAAAAATGTTTTCTCTGTATATAAGTTTTGCTTTGTCACTATGCTGCACTCTATGTGAGAAGAACAAAGATTATATGCATAATAAGACCATGCAAATGAGATGAAATCAGCAAAAGTATGGTAGGGGAGGAGAAGCTGTAAAATAGAGTCATCAGTATAATGACAAAGAAGTAGAAAAGTTAAATGTTTAATCATTGCACCTTTAAGTTTATTTATCCTCTCATCTTTTTGAGTGTGG